GACAGGGTATGGTTGGCACGCAACCTCGGAGCATGAATCCAGTGTAGGGATCCACTGCCCTCTAATGTCAGCTGGTAGTATTACACTGTATAGCAGGGGTGTCAAACTCAATTTCATCGCAGGCCACATCAGCAGTATGGTTGTATCTGGGGTGCGCTACATACAGAGTTCAGGATTCAGGAGTGTGTTACGCAGAGAGTGCAGAGTTCAGGAGTGCATTATGTTCAGAGTTCAGGATTATGCTACATACAAAGCGGAGAGTTCAGGATTATGGTACATGCAGAGCGCAGAGCTCAGGATTACTCTATGTACAGAGTGCAGAGTTCAGGGGTGCGCTATGTCCAGAATGCAGAGTTCAGGGGTGCGCTATGTCCAGAATGCAGAGTTCAGGGGTCCACTATGTCCAGAATGTAGAGTTCAGGGGTGCACTATGTCCAGAATGCAGAGTTCAGGGGTCCACTATGTCCAGAATGTAGAGTTCAGGGGTGCACTATGTCCAGAGTGCAGGGTTCAGGGGTGCACTACAGAGTGCTGTTTACAGAGTGCAGGGTTTGCAACCCAACCCCCCCCCCAAAGCTTCCTCGCATCTCTCTTGCCTACAGGGCATAGCCCTGTGTATACATTACACTACATACAGTGTGCAGAGTTCATGATTATGCTACGTACAGAGTGCAGAGTTAAAGGGTGTGCCATGTACAGAATGCAGAGTTTATGGGTGAGCTACATACAGAATGCAGGGGTGTGCTGTGGGTGTGGGTGGGTGTGCTGTGTACAGAGTGCAGGGTTTAGTGGTGTGCTACGTATAAAGTGCAGAGTTCAGGATTATGCTACATACAGAGTGCAGAGTTCCGGGATTGTGCTACATACAGAGTGCAGAGTTTATGGGTGCGCTACAGAGTGCAGGGGTGTGCTGTGTACAGAGTGCAGGGTTTAGTGGTGTGCTACGAACAGAGTGCAGAGTTCAGGGGTTCGCAATGTACAGAGTGCAGTGCTCAGGGATGTGTTATGTACAAAACGCAGGGTTTAGTGGTGTGCTGTGTAGAGAGTACAGTGTTTAGGGGTGCACTGTGTACAGGGTGCAAGGTTCAGGGATGTGCTGTGTACACATTGCAGAGTTCAGGGGTGTGCTATGTACATAGTGAAGGGTTCAGGGATGCGCTATGTTCACATCACATTGCAGAGTTCAGGGGTGCATTGTGTACAGAGTGCAGAGTTCAGGGGTGCGCTACGTTCAGAGTGCAGAGTTCAGGGGTGCGCTACGTTCAGAGTGCAGAGTTCAGGGGTGCGCTACGTACAGAGTGCAGAGTTCAGGGGTGCGCTACGTACAGAGTGCAGAAGTCAGGGGTGCATTGTGTACAGAGTGCAGAGGTCAGGGGTGCGCTACATTCAGAGTGCAGAGGTCAGGGGTGCGCTACATTCAAAGTGCAGAGTTCAGGGGTGCGCTACGTTCAGAGTGCAGAGGTCAGGGGTGCGCTACATTCAGAGTGCAGAGTTCAGGGGTGCGCTACGTACAGAGTGCAGAGTTCAGGGGTGCGCTACATTCAGAGTGCAGAGTTCAGGGGTGCGCTACGTACAGAGTGCAGAGTTCAGGGGTGCGCTACGTACAGAGTGCAGAGTTCAGGGGTGCGCTACGTTCAGAGTGCAGAGGTCAGGGGTGCGCTACATTCAGAGTGCAGAGTTCAGGGGTGCGCTACGTTCAGAGTGCAGAGGTCAGGGGTGCGCTACATTCAGAGTGCAGAGTTCAGGGGTGCGCTACATTCAGAGTGCAGAGTTCAGGGGTGCGCTACGTTCAGAGTGCAGAGGTCAGGGGTGTGCTACATCCAGAGTGCAGAGTTCAGGGCTGCGCTACATCCAGAGTGCAGAGTTCAGGGGTGCGCTACATTCAGAGTGCAGAGTTCAGGGGTGCGCTACGTTCAGAGTGCAGAGGTCAGGGGTGCGCTACGTTCAGAGTGCAGAGGTCAGGGGTGCGCTACATTCAGAGTGCAGAGTTCAGGGGTGCGCTACATTCAGAGTGCAGAGGTCAGGGGTGCGCTACATTTAGAGTGCAGAGTTCAGGGGTGCGCTACGTTCAGAGTGCAGAGTTCAGGGGTTTGCTATATACAGTACAGAATGTAGGTTTTAGGGGTGTGCTACATACAGAGTGCAGGGTGTGCGTCCCCAACCCCCCCAAAGCTATCTTGCATCTCCCTCTTTCCTACCTGGCCCAGCTCTAGTACCTCCCTGTGCAGCATGCTTGCAGGGAGATCATTCTCTCTCTCTCTGGCCCTGCTATGAACATGTTCAGGGATCTGTTAGATATTGCAGCCGCTGAGCAAAGCTGTCCATTGTTAACACAGAATGCTATTGTGTTTACAAGGGACGGCAAGGAGCAGGAGCAGAGGTAAGAGCCAGAGGTGGCAAAATGGAGTTCCGCCACGTTCCAGCTGCAAAATGGGGGTGTGAGGGCCGCATGACAAGGCCTGGTGGGCCAGAATCAACCCATGGGCCTTGTGTTTGACATATGTGCTGTAATGTATAACTATGTCTGTCACTTTCTGACTTGGGGGTTGTTGGTAAAAGATCCTGGAAGGAGGAATTGAAGAGAGAGAAGGTCTCAGCCACCAGCCCCCCGTCAATGCTACTAACACCAGATCAGAAATGATGATTAACCTCCCTAGCGGTCTGATTATGTCCATATTTCTGTGCTCAAAGCAGTACATTTTTTTGCATGGAAATATGTATTTTTTTTGTAGGCCTGTAATTCTTAGGAATAACTCACTGAAATCTGTCCGAACAAGAGTCTAGTAAACATCCCGGGTATGATAAAATTTGAAACACGAAATCATAAATTATAATATAATAAATAATCAAAAAAAATAATAATATAATAATAATAAATGTAATTCAATAATATAATCAAACCAAAAACACTGAAATTTGAAATATAGCGCCAAGTTCGCACATCGCTGAGCTCAGTCGCAGAATCGTTTTCAGTGTCTGATGAGGAATTTCCCCCACGAATCATTATCACTCAATTCTGCAAGTGGTTCTGATTTACTATCGCTGTTCTCTAGCCGGTCTAAAACCACTTCTGACCTAAAGGGACGCTTTTTGGACGCCATGGATGTTTTCTCAGTTTCCAGGCAGAAAGAACAGTAAAAATGCAGGCAGGGCGCCGGACAAAGCACTCGGGACAAAATGTATGTGAAATGGTTTGATACAGGAATGTTATACTATGTGATTTTAGTGTATTGAGTGAATGTCACTTTTCCAACTTTCAAATTTCCCACCGGTTCTGTCCCCCGTACGTCCCGACGTCTCAGGGAACGGAACCCGGAAGACAGATGCCGGCATCAGCCGGAGGACATTACAGGGGACACTGCAGGGGGGACATCGCGGGAGCGCAGGACAAGGTAAGTGAAGATTATTATTATTATTATACAGTATTTATAAAGCGCCAATAGTTCACTCAGCGCTGTACATTACAAAGGGGGACAGAACATGTGACAGAACAATACCAATACAATGCAAAACATGAGGGGATTGAGGGCCCTGCTCTTTCAAGCTTACAATCTAGAAGATATCCCGGAGCAATGCTGCAGTGTATTCCCGAGTGTAGCTTGGGGTTACTGCTTGTGGTGCTGAAACTTTACCCCGAGCTACACTCGGGAATACCGCCAGGGAGGTTAATCAGAGCTACACATAGAACACACTAACTTAGAATTGTGTGTATCAATCTTTGTATACATCCCAAGATTTTGTTGGCTTTACCAGCTGCCTATTGGCATTGAGTGCTTCTGCTAGGATTGCTATTAATCAATTTTCCCAGGTTTTCCTTTCATCTTATCTACATTGCATGTAATGTTCAAGGGGTTGTTCTAATCGCCTCAGTGCAGACCCTCACTTTTTTAACATTAACATTAATTTCAATCTCCATTAAACTGCTCAAGTTGCACATCACACTGCGGTTCGCAAACCGATTTTGGGGTGTTATTACCTTAACATACACATCTGCAGTGGTTCGCACGAACAGGGTGCAATTATGATGCAGTGTGGAATTCTATTCTAGGCTGTATGCATCTAAACACAATGTTTTAGACGCCCATGTGAATGAGCCCCAGCACACGCCAAATCCGTGATCAGAAAGATACTGGACCATGGGTAAGGGCCCCATGTATGCCCCCATTGGTGCCTATAGTGTATTCAGAGGCACACAAAACTATAGGCTGTAGGCATCTAAACACAATGTTTTAGACGCCCATGTGAATGAGTCCCAGCACATGCCAAATCCGTGATCAGGAAGATACTTGACCATGGGTAAGGGCCCCATGTATGGACCCATTGGTTCCTATAGTTTTGTATTCAGAGGCACACAAAACTATAGGCTGTAGGCATCTAAACATAATGTTTTAGATGCCCATGTGAATGAGCCCCAGCACACGCCAAATCCGTGATCAGGAAGATACTGGACCATGGGTACGGTCATTGTTGGCAATAGGGAGAGAGACAGGCAATATGAAGAGGAACAATGTAACCCTGTGGCTCCTATACTCCCACAGAAACCTTTGGTGTGCTAACATCACCATATTACTGGACGTTATCTAGATATCCAGATAGTCTATGAACAGTTTTGTTTTTTGTGCCGGAGCAAACACATCCGTTTGGCACCATAGTGTGTCTTTGGCACAGGCATGATGTTTTATTGTTCCTTCCCACATTTCTCAATGACTTAGAAGTATATTAGAACAGCTTGTACTTCCCTTTCAGAACCTTTATTGGCTTGTAAAGCAAACACCAAATGTGACACAAAACTAACAATACAGCATTGTGTATGTTATCATTTTTATGTATGTAAGTTCTCATGTACGGGGGCTGTACTGAAATCTGGCAAATTGTGGGACCCATGGAAACTATGTGCTGCTGGTCTTGTGAGGCCCATTGTGGACTGACACCTTCCTTCCACCCTCTATTTTCCTTCTCCCCCTCCTCCTCCAGTTTTTTGCTCCCTCTTTCTTTTTTCTCTCTCTTTACAACAAAAGATTTATCATTCCCTAAAGCATGTCTCCTTATGTTTCGTTATTTCCTCAATGCATGCATACGAGTATAGAGCAGTGTTTCTCAACCTTTTCTCAGTCAAGGCACCCTTTAAAATTATGGACAGTCTTGAGGCACCCTTTAAAATTATGGACAGTCCCGAGGCACCCTTTAAAATTATGGACAGTCCCGAGGCACCCTTTAAAATTATGGACAGTCCCGAGGCACCCTTTAAAATTATGGACAGTCCCGAGGCACCCTTTAAAATTATGGACAGTCCCGAGGCACCCTTTAAAATTATGGACAGTCTTGAGGCACCCTTTAAAATTATGGACAGTCCTGAGGCACCCTTTAAAATTATGGACAGTCCCGAGGCACCCTTAAAAATTATGGACAGTCCCAAAGCACCCTTTTAAATTATGGACAGTCTCGAGGCACCCTTTAAAATTATGGACAGTCCCGAGGCACCCTTTAAAACAATGGACAGTTCTGAGGCACCCTTTAAAATTATGGACGGTCTTGAGGCACCCTTTAAACTATGGGCAGTCCAGAGGCACCCTTTAAAATTATGGACAGTCCCGAGGCACCCTTTAAAAGTATGGACAGTTCCAAATCACCGTTTTAAATTATGGACAGTCCCCAGGCACCTTTTAAAATTATGGACAGGCGCGAGGTACACTTTAGAATTATGGACCGTCCCGAGGCACCCTTTAAAACTATGGACTGTCCCAAGTCACCCTTTAAAATAATGGACAGTCCTGAGTCACCCTTTAAAATTATGGACTGTCCCGAGGCACCCTTTAAAATTATGGACAGTCTTGAGGCACCCTTTAAAATTATAGACAGGCCCGAGGTACCCTTAAAAATTATAGACAGTCTTGAGGCACCCCATTCTAATATGCGGTGCCTCAAGACTGTCCATAATTCTAAAAGGGCACCTCGTTCTAAAATGTGTAAAACTATTCTTACACCCCTTAAAATTATGGGCAGTCCTGAGGCACCCTTTAAAATTATGGACAGTCCCGAGGAACCCTTTAAAACAATGTACAGTTCTGAGGCACCCTTTAAAATTATGGACGGTCTTGAGGCACCCTTTAAAATTTATGGGCAGTCCAGAGGCACCCTTTAAAATTATGGACAGTCTTGAGGCACCCTTTAAAATTATGGACAGTCTTGAGGCACCCTTTAAAATTATGGACAGCCCAGAAGCACCCTTTAAAATTATGGACAGTCCCGAATCACCCTTTTAAATTATGGACAGTCCCCAGGCACCTTTTAAAATTATGGACAGGCGCGAGGTACACTTTAGAATTATGGACCATCCCGAGGCACTCTTTAAAATTATGGACAGTCCCGAGGCACTCTTTAAAATTATGGACAGTCCCGAGGCACTCTTTAAAATTATGGACAGTCCCGAGGCACTCTGTAAAATTATGGACTGTCCCGAGGCACCCTTTAAAATTATGGACAGTCCCGAGGCACTCTTTAAAATTATGGACAGTCTTGAGGCACCCTTTAAAATTATGGACAGGCCCGAGGTCCCCTTAAAAATTATAGACAGTCTTGAGGCACCCCATTCTAAAATGCGGTGCCTCAAGACTGTCCATAATTCTAAAAGAGCACCTTGTTCTAAAATGTGTAAAACTATTCTAATAATTTTATATAACGCAGCAACATCCACACATGTGGGACACCCAACACTAGAGGTGATTTGTTCTTCTAAAGCAAATACACTTTTGCACATTCATACTGAGTAGTATTCCAGTCTTTTCCCTCAGTTTTTATCAATCACTGAGCTAATGTGACCCCAGCACTGATGGAGAAGGGCAGGGATTCTGTGCAGGCAGCTGACATCCTCCTTAACAACAGATGACGTCATTCGTTGTCAGGACACTGGCGGCTAGAAGGTGGTAATGGTGCACAATGAAAACCTGTTGTAGAACTAAAAGGCAGCCTTGTTCCACCCTCTTGCTTGTATATAACTTTTGGGCAATTTTTGGACATTTTGCCAAGGCACCCCTGAAGAAACCTCAAGGCACCCTGGTTGAGAAAGGCTGGTATAGAGGATAGAAAAACAAGCTAAAGTAATAATGGTGGGGGATGAGCTGATGGAGAAAATAAAAGTACAATTGTTAGGTGGAGGCAGGATAGGCCTCTCTGAAGAGAAGGGTTTTCAGGGATCGTCTAAAAGTAGACTGAGTAGGACAGATTAGGGTAGGGAGTTACATATGATGGGAGAGGCTTGGAAGAAGTCTTGGAGGTGAGCATGGGAGTAGGTAACAAGGGAGCTGGGAAGCAGGAGGTCTTGGGTGGAATAAATAAGGAGCCTAATGATTGAACCACAATGCAATCCATTTAACCGCTTGCCCGCCTCCCTATAGCAGAAATACTGCTATGGGGTGGTAGGGCTGTGCAAAATCACATATACAGTATATATATATATATATATATATATATATATACTTGATTTTGCATCTCCAGGTATGGAGCGCACGTGCGTCCATTGGCGGCTTCAGCTGTTGATCACCGGGTCCCGGCCGGAGATTCCCCGCTGGCAATCGCTGAGTATCACTGACGAGGGAGAGGTCTGTATGTAAACAATACAGATCTCTCCCCTGTCAGCTCATGCACACTGCTTTGTATGGCACTACATAGCAGAGCCATACAAAGCAATGTGCTTATACTGTAAAACACACACAGCACACAGTTAACCCTTTGATCGCGCCAGATGTTAACCCCTTCCTGCCCAGTGCCATTAGTACAGTGTCAGTGCTTTTTATTAGCAATGATCACTATATTGTTGTCACTGGGGATGTCAGTGACAGTTAATCAGTTCTCCCCCCCAGTGTCAAAATGCCCCCGCCGCAGTCCCTTTATAAGTCGCTGATTGCTGCTATTAATAGTTAAAGAAAAAAAAAATCCCAGTATAAATCCCACCATTTGTAAGCGCTACAACATTCACTTAAACCAATTAATTTACACGTATTGGGATTTGTTTTTTTTTTAGCAAAGACATGTCACAGAATACATTTTGGCCTAAATTTATGACAAAATTAGATTTTTAAAAATTTTTTCCTGGACATGCTTAATAGCAAAAAGTAAAAAAATATAGATTTTTCTCAAAATTTTCGGTCTTTTTTTATTTATAGCGCACAAAATAAAAAACACAGAGGCGATCAAATACCACTGAAAGAAAGCTCCAATTGTGGGAAAAAAGGGACATAAATTTAATTTGGGTGCAGTGTTGCATGACCGCGCAATTGTCAGTTACCGTATCACAAAAAATGGCCTGGTCAGGAAGGTAGGGGGGAAATCCTCCAGGGGGCAAGTGGTTAAGTCATCGCTCTCCTTTGTTTCCTACTTTAGGAATGTGTTCTTTTTTATTGAAGCTCGTGGATAAAAAAGATAGAGCTGGCGGAGAGAGATAACAGTCATAAAATGCTGATTTGTATTTTAGATAGCTAGGTAACACCTTTTTTATTTGAAACAAATACGAGTATATAAAAAAGTTGTCTTTGTGTGGTGTAAGTAAAACGTTTTATATGTTCCCATTATTTGGATAGTTAAACTCAGGCAAGTGTTAGTAGTCATTGTCATCTGTAGTCTTATATAAGTCAGGGGTTATTTCCATTATAGTCACCCACAGGGGTGTATTTACCACAAGGCATTTGCCTAGGGTGTCATTTTTCAGGGGGGGCAGCACTGCCCCTTGGAAGAAGGGACACACGCGGCATGGGGACCTGGTGTGTTCCGAGAGATGCTGTGGGTTTCATGACGGTGTATGCACAGCCCGACTCTTGTTCCTTAGTCACCCACAGGGGTGTATTTACCACAAGTCAAACAAGGCATTTGCCTAGGGCTGCATTTTTCAAGGGGGCAGCACTGCCCCTTGGAAGAAGGGACAGAAGAAGGGACACACACGGCATGGGGACCTGGTGGGTTCCGAGAGATGCTGTGGGTTTCATGATGGTGTATGCACAGCCCGACTCTTGTTCCTGGGGATGTCCGTAGCTGTGAAGGTGAGTGTCTTTCTCTCTCTCGCCATGGGGGATGGTGGCTGGTATATGGGGACAGTGGTAGTGGAAGGCTTGGGTGGAAGGCAGGGGCGTTCTTGGTCAATTTCAGGCTGTTTCTGCGGGGGGGGGGGGAGGGGTTTAGCGCCAATTTTTGTGTTGCCTAGGGCAGCACAAAACCTAAATACACCATTGGTCACCCAGTAGTTTGCCCAATATGTCCCCATCCCCCTTTACCAGAATGCCATCATTTTTACCAGTCTAAAGCCGGCCATACATGGGTCGAATTCCGAAAGAATTTTCTTTAGAAAATCTTTTCTGAGAATTTTCGTTAAAATTGCGCACCATTAGTGGGTCACAGAAATGGCCAATGTTCGTGTGATCACTGCATTTGAGTGATTGGGCACATGGAAATTTTTTGAAAAACAAATTAATTTCGAATCATTGATGGGAGAATCGTGCGAGAAATATAAAGCTGTGATCTGGAAAGAGAAGAAAATTCTTGGACACGAAAATTCTTTTCTGTAGCAACACGAGGAGAAATTGAAGGCTTGGTTGGTTGAAGTTTGAAATCAATGGTGGCGCCATCGCATTACAAAATGCACAAAATTTCCGATTTTCTAAAGAACATTTGTTCGGAATTCAACCCGTGTATGGCCTGCATTATTAACCACTTCCCGTCCGGCCGCTGTATATAAACGGCCGGACGGTGGCAGTCCAGGGGCGGGTTGCTGTTCACAAACAGAGCCCACTATTTTGGATTGTGCACCCTGGGAGCGTTGCGGCACCACGATCCAGTTCCCGCTGTGCCCGGAACACCGATCACTGTACGGGACCTCTGTGTGAGGTCCCGATCATCTGATCACTGATTGGCCAATCAGTGATCATATGAATAGGTGTAAGCAAGATGTCACTTCTGACATCATTGCTTACTACGTGTCAAATCTGTGAATGATCACATGGTACAGGGCTATTTACAACAGCCTTGTACCATGTGACAAGCTGTGACCAATCACAGCTCACACAGTATTTCTCAATGGCTGCAAGAATGCAGCCAGAGAGAAGGAAAAATGATTGCTTTTACAGCCTTTATGGGTGTAAAAGCAATCAGTGTAAAAAAATTAAAAAATACTCATCACCCCCCACAAGTAGTACAGTGTCAACATGGTGACACTGTACTGCTAGGGTGACAGTATGTTAAAAAAATAAATAAATAATAATATTAAAAAAAAATAAAAATGTAAAAAAAAAAATTTTTTTTTAAATATTTTTGGTTATAAACTAATTTGGGTAATTTTTTTTTTCTAAAAGGATAACTGAATAAATTTTGGCCAAGATTTATGAAAAAAGATTATTTATTTGCAAAATTGTATAAGAAAAACACTTTTTTTTCAAAATTTTTGGACTTTTTCGTTTATATAGCAAAAAAAAATAAATCCCAGGGGTGAATAAATAACACAAAAACTAGCTGCTGACTTTTAAAAAACAGCCACTTACCTGTCCCTCGGTCCCGCGGTGTGTCCCCCGCAGCCCGTTTCACCGGCCGTCCTGTATTCCAGGAGGCTGACATCTTCAGTGTGGGCACCCAGCTGTCATAGCTTGGGGCATCACAGCTGGGTGCCCATTGCGCATGCGGGAGTAGCACTGCGCTTCATGAATTGTTCTGTAGTCTTCTGGGACCTATCACGTGTCCCAAAAGAGGGTGGGAGGGACGGAGGACACCTTCCATTTCTGATCTCCTAGGCGATTGGACCGGAAGTGGGAGCGGGTACCTGTCAAATTCGTCCCGACCCCCAAAGATGCCAATCCTTAATGGGGAGCGAGGGAGCAGTCCTTAAAGCAGAACTTCCCCTTTTGGGTGGAGCTGCGCTTTAAGGTGATGGAAAAGTCCTTCATATATCATATTTTTCCAACAGAACCACATCCCAATTAGTATGTAACTCTGAAGTAAGGAGATTTTTGAGCCGCAAAAACATATCTCCAATATCACTATTGGTGTCAACAGTATTATTAAACACATTCTCTGAATTAATAACGTGTGGCCCTGAAATCGAAAATTTCCATTTCAGTAGACAAAAAGTTGCAAAATATGAATACCACAATGACAAATATAACAAAAATAATTCTGCGCTAAATGTCTAATAATCAGAGAGAATAAAACAGCTGAGATAAAATTGCTGGTAACAATAAAGATAAAAAACTATACAAAATGTAGCGCTTAATCTCTCATAATTGGCATAGATAAAAGAAAATATTAACCACTTCCCGACCGGCCGGTGTATATAAACGGCCGGACGGTGGCACTGCAGGGTCGGGTGGTCATTTATAAACGGCCTCCCCGCACCCTGCTTGTGCACACTCCCTGGGAGCACGCAGCACCGTGATCCGGTGCCCGCTGTGTCCTCCCGGACACAGTGAAACACCGATCGTCGGACGGGACCTCTGTACGAGGTCCCGATCATGTGATCACTGATTGGCCGATCAGTGATCACATGCAAAGTAGTAAGCAAGATGTCACTTGTGAGATCATTGCATACTACGTGTGAAATCTGTGAATGATCACAGAGGTCACATGGTACAAGGCTATTCACAACAGCCTTGTACCATGTGACAA